AGAGAAGACTGAGAGGCGATCTCATAAATGTGTACAAGTATCTGAAGGGACGGTGTCAAGAGGATAGGGCAAGACTCTTCTCAGTGGTGCCCAGGGACAGGACAAGAGGTAACAGGCACAAACTGAACCACAGGAAGGTCTGTCTGCGCATGAGGAAAAACTTCTTCACTGTGAGGGTGGCAGAGCATTGGACCAGGTTGCCCCGAGAGGTAGTGGAGTCTCCTTCCCTGGAGATATTCAAAACCCGCCTGGATGCAATCCTGGGAAATATGCTCTAGAGGACCCTGTTGGAGCAGAGAGGTTGGACTAGATGATCTCCAGAGGTCCCTTCCAACCTAAACGATTCTGTGATTGGTAGGTCTTAGGCAGATTGGTTAGCAATACAAGTTACTATTAGTCTAAAAAAAGCCAGACTGATATGACGGAGATCATTGCACATGGAATAATATCATAGAATGCTGATACAAAGGATTTTCAGTATCTTCGATTTTTTCTTTGTAAGTAATTGTCCATATGCACATTTACACTGTGATGAAGTTGTTAGCACTGCTAGAGCCCTAAAACAGTCCCTGAGGCCTACGCGTGCAATTCCCCTGCACTTGCTATGTTGCAAGTTACAAATAGTAGAGAAAAGTTCCCTCTCTCGTTCCTGTTGCTTCCTCTGCTTAGTCGCAGTCTTTCCTCTTTTTAAGAGCCCCTGGCCTGATTGGATTATTAGTTAAGGGTGATGTCTTTCATGAGTGTGACTCTGAAGTCAAATGAACAGTTGTTTGCCAACGTATTCTGTAGAAAGGACTAAAAGAGTGAGAAAAGGCTAAAAATACTTGACACCTGTATATATATTCGCTCTATGAATCTGCTTATGGATGATCTCGAAGGATCTCTAAAAAATAAGCTGTTACTAAATCTAATGATATGCTAAGATAACTTTTTAACCACTTGTGTGCTTTACCTTTGGCAGAATAAATAAAGGCATTCTTAAACGTTTTAACTGCTCCAATTCTTGTTGAGCAAAAGTAGAAAAACAATGGTAGAAAAATAGCCCCTCAAAAAAGAGGAGCTATGTTTACGTTTGCAGGTAGCAGTGCGGGTTGACGTGGATCTGTAGAGTGAAAGAAGGTGTTGGTGCTGATGACCCAGACATTTAGAGGGTTTTACCTTACATTAGGTTTAGCCTGGTCCCTTGGGCTGAGTACCTGTTAATGATCAGAGTGCATCAAGTGTGCTGTGGGGTGCATCTTAGTTGGTTTAAGCCAAGAGGAATCTTGTTTGAGACAGTTCTGTGGTGTTAATTGAAGCATGGTAACTGGGAAAGATCCAGAGGTGCCCTTTAAAGGTGCACTCCTATTCTAACTAAATTGCCAGTATGGACACATCCATAGCAGAAGGTCAATATATTTATCGAATAACGAGATAAATCAGACAATTACAGGTGGCCAAATGAAAGGGGATCTGCTGAGCTTTTACTTTTTACCTCAAAATCTATAATGTTGTAACAGATTAATACATGTCTAGCATGTATATGATGGTATTTAAGGCAGTTTTGTTGTCCTTTATAGCAAGTAAAATTTAGCATGGTTCCTCTTATAACTCCCATGTTTTATTCACAAAACAAAATGCTATTTACTCTTTTTTTTAACTGCAATTTTAGATTGTACACGTGATAGACTTCTCTTTCTCTGATGAATATTCAGTTTGGAGCTAACTTTTCTTTCTTAAAAGCAATTCTCTAATTTATTTCATAATTCCTTTTAAATTGCCTTATATTAAGCTGATAAATTGCAATACATGAAGCTGATATATAGGTGCTCGAAAATAGATCTATTTGCAATAGACGTTTTAGATTATGCAAAATCAAATATGAAACAAGGGTATGGCATTTTGGGGATTTTTGTCTGTGACCAGAACCATTGAAAAATGAAGTTATATGATTGCTGAATCTTTAAAATCAGAAATGACAGTATTGTCATTTTACATGATTTAAGCACAGTGTCTTAAAATAGAAGTAGCTTTACTAGTTATGCCTAGAATTTGTTGGACAATAAAAATTATTAATTACAGGAAATGTAATGATGACACAGTAGGAAGTTTTGAATTAAAATGAAATTGCAAATAAAATTTTAAAAGTCAGTATCTGTATACCGTGGTAGTTTTACAGGAAGCAGATCTGTCTAGAACATGATAACAGTGTAGAATTATAGAGCTAAGACCATCTCCTAATTTACAAAATAAAATTTAGAAGTCTGATACTGAATCATCAATCACAATTAGTGTACTGTAACATTTAGATGTGATCTACTACAAGTTTAGTGGAATATCTTTTGTAGTGCTAGAGGAGATTTATTGTATTTCTGACTTCTCTTAAGGATAAATCATTTCATGGTTATAAATTGTGAATGCAATTCTGAATTCATCAGTAAACTGTCTATCCATTTAACTACATTTCCAAAGAGTTACTCCTGTGTAGTTATAATAATATCTGAAATTTTTGATTTATTCTGTTTTCCATCACTATAGTAACAGCCAAGTTGTATATTTAATCTTGCATCTGTAAACAGATTCATCTTCATTTTACCCTTATCCAGTGACCCTCAAAGTTGCATTCTTTTTATACTCTTTTCTTTCCAGAGTTTGCAATTTCTTACATTAATCTTTTAATTTACAAGTTTGACAGTGAGTTTATATGGTATTAGAATATTTACAAGACTGAGAATAGTAGAGATAGGATATTGTAAAAGAATTTCATAAGATGTGGAAACTAATATTAGAAAGAATCCATGTTAGCTTTACATTATAATGTGAAAATCTATAGCCATAGAATAAGAGTATCTAAGAGACAGTAAATTCCTTTATGTATCTCAGTTACGTATCTTGAAGTTATGGTTCCTTGTCTCTTAAATTTTATTGTTAGTTTTTGATTTTCCGTGTGTTATTGTTTTTTACTTAAATGAAAAAATATATTCTGGGGCATTGTTATTTGGTAAGAAATGATTTTAGTAGCAAATGACGTAGTAGTTTAACTCAGTGCTACATAGGATTGCCAGTATAAGAACTTGGATAAAAATTCTTTCAGAAAAAAAGTGATGCTGAAGAATATGCTAGAATTTGTAGCCATCAGAAATATACTCTTGGTGTTCAGAAGCTAGTTTTAGTTAAGACATTTCAATGTAGGCAGCACTTAATCTTATATGTCAAAAAAGATTTGTGCTTTTAAATTTCATAATTCAAGTTTACTTTTCAAAGTAGAATATGTTTGCTTCCTGAAAATCTGGTTCCTTTTTTGCTTTGAAAAAGTGGACATAAAATTTGATAATTTGGACCTGTATATGGTGGTTACACGAAAGGATTTTATGCCTAACATACAGTTTGCAATACTGTTGGTGTTAAGAACAGTTCTAAATGTAAATTTCTGAATATATGCAAGGAATGACAGAGCTACCATTTTTAAGGTACTGATGAATCTTCGAAACCCAAATTATGAAAATGGAGAACAGCCAAGTTTCAGGAATCATCTGGGGCTAATTCAGGTTCCTTTAAAAGTTAAAGATATTCCAGAATTGGTAAGTAGTTTTTTCTTAGTACCTAACATAGGTTAGTAGAGACTATTAATATGGAGATAAGTTTCTCCTTTTAAAAATCAAAATCAGTATGAAAATGCAGTGGTCAGAAGTTAAAATACAGAGCAAAGAAAAGACTTTTGAAAAGATATTTTTAATGAAAAATAAAATATAAAGAGTAAATTATCTGCCAGGAGGAAAGTTTTTGTTTTGTGCCACACAGTTGGCTGTCAGTTTGTGCCAAAAAATATATTGCTGCACATTTTCTTCACTTATGCATTTTTTTATGTGAAATAACAGCTATAAGTAATTTATCTCTATAAAATACAAACTTCTGTATATAAAATCTCTTGTTAATCTTACAGAGCTCTTAAGTTTCATTTATACTTAATGAATGAATAATAATGTTAATTCTACAGTTTATTTTATATTGCACAAAATCAATAACCTGACAATCAGTTAATATTTGATTTCTTTTTTTCCCCTTAAATTCAGTTTAAATCCCTTCACTGCTAGGCTATAAATGAAAGGAAATGCTTGGGTACCAGTATTTATCACCGGGGAATAGGAGAGCTATTCTTAATGGTCCACTGATAAGGTTCTTGAGGATTTTATAGTAGCAGGGCAACTTGCACCTGGGTTGGAAAACAGCGGAGAATTAGAAGGCTATAGCCTGGTCTTTCATTTATAATTACAACGAGGTGTAGCTCACACTTGACTTGAAAATTGTGGCCTATAATTGAATGAGAATAAGGATTGGTGTAAGATACTTTTTCTAAAAATCTGAGCTCAGATTGCCCATATATGTTTTTAGAAGAACTTATATTTGGTTTAGAAAATATTTACACTTACTCTTTCAGAAGAAATTTATAGTATTTTAGAGAATTAAAAAAATGTTAATTGCTTTTTATGGTTTTGTTTCTTTTCAGAAAGAAGACTTCAGTGAGCTAGACTTAAACACAGGACAGTTGGGTATTGATGATTCAGCACAAGTACCTCCTGGTTAGCTAAAAATGCTGTGCTTCATTTATTTAAATAAAACACTAATGAGTAGAGTACTGTGCAATTATCAAGTAATTTGTGTCTTTTTCCGTAATAAACCATAAATCTTTGTTCTGTTGTTGCAACTATTGCAACTTCATAAAATATAGCACATACTGGATGATGTTGCAAATGTGAAGGGTTGGATGTGAAAAAGATCAAAAATCATCAAATTAAGTTGAAAATATGTTCATTTCAGGTGTTTTTACACTTCAGGATCAAGTATAGAAGACAAAAATGACTGTCTCTGCAAATATAGAAAATATCAACAAATGTTAAGTTGACCCTGCAGTGTGACACCATTTTCACAGATGGGCTTATATCCAAACATCTTTTTAATGACTATCTTTAAGAAAAGATTGACGAAAATATGCATATATTAATATTCAGTATCTTATATAATGCATAATTGCTGGGGTGTTTTTTTTGTATGCAACTAGTATTTCTGTAAAAACAAGTCTTACAGGGTATAAAAACAAAAACACTATAGTATCAACTGATATATACATATATTTTTTTAATGGAAAGTGGCCTAATTTGAAAGTCCTGGTTCTTGCTGTGTATTCCTACTTTCATACTTGTATCCTTCAGACAAGAATAAATTCTTTAGTGTTATTTCTTCTTATTTCTTGAAAAAGAACATTGATGTAAGTTAATTTTTAGTAATGTTAGCAGTAAGAATGAGCTGAGAGTTGTGACATGCAGTGAAAATATAAAAAAACCCACTTTTTAATTTTTATATTTAATTTCTATTTCTATATTTTTTAGAGTTCTTTGAAAATGAACATGTGCGTATTGGGCAAAAAGGTATGGATCTATTTTCATCTGTAATAAACTGAGAAATTAGGAATACATTTAGTAATTTTAGATTTCAATTACATATAGCTTTAGTATTTCAGTAATTTACATGGACTAAGACAAAGCATAATGGATAACACCATTGTAATTGAGACAAAGGCAGAAGAGCAAGCATTTACCGTCTGCCAGTAGGTACCGGATAAATAGCTCCACAGGTGATTCACTGAAAAAACAACAGGAAGCACAGACACATAACTTCTTGATGATAACTTAACCTATGCCATTACTGAATTTCTTTTTAAAATAAAAAGACTCTGTACTCCCTTCTCTGCAAACACAATTCTTGTTAGTGTAATGGGTTTTACAGCTGTGCATCCTAACAGATTCTTCTTGACGGTTATTTGCAAATGCAGAGCTTGATAAATGTTGCAGTACTTAGCCACCATGGAAAATTCACTGATTTGTCTCTGCATACACTCTTTTCTAAACAAATTCTACGTTTTTCTGTAGGTTGAGAAATTATCCGCAAAAGGAAAAAGAAATAATCATTCATTAGGGAAAACATAGAAAAGTATGTTTGAAAGCCATCAATATTCGCTCCTTACTGACGGTTGTGATTCCTGCTAAACATCATCACCATGAAGAAAGAATAGCTTCCCGAAGGTCCTCCATCCCTTTGGGCTGTTGTGCTTACGGGGTGCTGACCTTTCTTTCTTACTTTTGTTTCTGTGGTGGTTCTTCCATTCCTCATCTTCTGTTGCCTAATCCAGGTACAGCTGATCACATAACGTCAATGAGAACACTTTTACTGGACTGGAGTTCCTAAAGATCCTTTTAACTTTATAGATTTAAGTAAGGAATGTAATAATCTTTTTTAAAGTATGCACATTATTGTATTCAAGATGAGACCGTAACAGCAGAGGAGTGTATAACTTCCCACCAATGACCCATCTAGGGAAGCCTAGCAACAGCAAAGCATTAGCTTTTTGTCTTCCTGTCTGAAGGAAAGCAAAACCTGAGGAAAAAAGACGTCTTTAACCTTGAGAGTATGTACACCAAGAATGGAAAAACATGACAGTATACTCCAAAATGGAAAATTCTTGCCCACAGTGATCAGTGAAGATATTCAGATAGTTAATGTAAGAATGGAGGAGGCACAAAAAAACAAAGTGGCGATCTGCTATGTAAAATGAGAGACTACTCTGGAAAAAAATATGCGCATTATTTAGGTAGTACTGGTAGAAGCCATGTTCCGGGTAGTCATAGCTGTAAAACAAAGGAGTATTTTATATCTGTACAGCTGCTTGCTCAACTTACTACCTGTCTATAAAAGGTACATACTAAGTGTTTTTATGATAGAAAGTAGTACAGCCTTGCTTGTTAGCATCAAATGCCTTGTTTCCCTGGGAGCTACTTCAGCATTACATTGTGAAAACTAGACATTTTTAGATATTTTCCCATTAGTTAATGCTTATAGCAGAGTAAACCAGATTGTATGCTCTGTTCCTAAATCGTTACCATACAGGTGTGTAAGGCTAAATTGCACTCCAACTATCTGTCAAATAGTTAAATTACTAATCTTTCTCTCTTGCTTCCTTGATGCCTGCATGTATACATTTTATTTGTCAAATATATGTCTGAATTCTCTCTGTTTAACAAACACTGCCATAAATAAATAAATAAATCTTGCCAAACCATTGTTTGCACATAAAAAACTGCAATAAACTAATCTAGGTTTGGAAAAACAGAATAAAAGGGGTGCAATAAATTCCAGTGAAGTAGGGTTATTTGTTAATGATATAGTCTTTTGTTCCTCTAATTTTTTTTACACTAGTCTAGTAGATAAATATCCATTTGAAATAAATGGGAATGTTGGCTGCAGAACTTTTTTTCTGGTGTGGAACAGAGTGGAGGTACTTTTAGTACAGATTTGGCATAGGCTGTGGAGGGTATCTCAGTTTTCAGAACTTTGTAAAAAGAATAAATGACTTGATAGTTTGATAAGCTTTGGTAGTATTAAATGACATCAGTTCATTACCTGCTTTATTTCTTACAGTTTTAGCAGAGCAAGATAGTGCTGCGGCTCAACAGTATGTTCGTCAGGGATGCCCGACAGCGCTCCGAGCTGATCTGTGGGCCCTCATTCTGAACATTTCGAATCAGCCAGAGGTAAGGAGCAAAATGAGATTAAAACATAATGGCTAAGTGAAAGCACAAACATACAGACACATATTTTCTAGTGATCTTTTTCCAAAATAGAAGTACTCTACTGATATACATTTTACAAGAAAAAAACATACATGTGTGCATGTAAAAAACCTCAGTGCTATGCTGAAGTCTTTTAGGCTCTTCCCTGATTTTTAAATAGATACATGAATAACGGACTGTAGAACAAAGCTTACTCACTTGATCTAATCAGCCAACTAGCTCCTGATAGTTTCCTTTATGATGCTGACTTTTTCAGAAGGGGTCAAGAGAAAAGTCCTGGAGTCCTAAGTTTTCTAACAAGACTTGCTATAACTTTCCTGCCTTTTTTAACCTGTCATCATATGCATATACGTATCTTGTAAACTGATTTTTATGTTATTGTACATAGTCTGCAAACGTATGGTTAAAAAGACGTAAATAGGAACTAGTAAGATGTGGACCGTTTTCGTAGCCCTTTGTACAGCAGTGTTTTTTCATAGTATCTTATGTTTTTCTTAAGTCCTCAACACTGAAATCTTTTGCAGTATAAAAAGACATGCTATAGTCAATATACCTGCTTTATTCATACCATAGAAAGTTAAATCCTTATTTGAATCCTTGTGGGATTGTGAATGCTTTAATACAAGGCTTTTATTGCAATAAAAGAAATAACATGCATACATTTGCACATAAACATGAAAATTTTATAGTATTTTGTGTCTGTTGATGATGTAGTCATTTTCTTGTACTACTGAGGCGTTTGCTGATTACTACATATTACAGTAGTTCTTAGTTCTTATAGTTCTAAGTTCTTTGCCTTAAAAAGAAACGTTGATCTTGTTCCCTGGCAGCTTACCTAAGGAGCGGTCATGCTAAGAGAAGTATTTGATAAAATTACTTGGTCTCAATTAATTAGCTTATTGCTTCTTGAAGAAACAGAATGGGCTTTTATTTATTGTAAACAATGTTGTAAATTCTCTGTAGGAGAAGCGGTTGTTGAAATAATAATGAAATATTATAAATCTTACCTGAGATGCTCAATGCTTGATTTAAATTCTTTTCAGTTATTTTAAATTCTTCTAAATTATTGATGACAGTGTGAATTTTAGAAGTTTTTACCACAGCTAGAAGATTAGAGGTGTGGAATTCATTTTGTTGTTTTCACAGCATCTGTTTATATCTATTTATTTTAAATATTGAAATATTTTGTTAAATGTTACATCTCCTAAGAGCATTTTTGTCCTAATGTAGAAAGTGAAAAAATTGAATATAAAGGTCCAGTATTCTGTTTTGATGACTCAATATCAAGACAACAGTCAGAAAAATCAAAAAAATGTTTCATTCTGTATTTATGTAAAGCATGAAGCTCTTGTGATTTATTAAAAACCCGGTTCCTGAAATTCACATGAACACCTTTTTTCTAAAGAGCAACAAAAAGTTACATTCATCTGTTAATGTATTTGTCAGCCATACTGTTACTTCCTTTAAAAGTTTAATTTATAGTTGTTTTTAATGTTTGTTTATGGTATGCATTAAGTGTGAAGACTTTAGACGTTCTCAAAAGGTTAGTCTCTGCTGTGGGGGTAGTAACTTAATTTACTGTTAGATAAGCTGGAGAACAGTAAATTAGCTGATCCATTATAGCTGATCATGTGTGTATTCTTACTCTATAGTAAATGGTAATTCAGCTCTAATTTATTGTAAGGATGCATGTGAACGTTTATGGCAAAGTAGCTAATACACTCTAGCTATCATATTTTACCTTGTGATAACTTTCTACATACATAGCAAATGATGCTCATAGACTGTAGAGGAAGAACTAAAATAAGCTATATATGGATACAATATTCTCAGATTTAGTAGAGTAGTTGTTAGCCATTAGGAGACATTCAACAAGGTCTGGAGCCTTGAGATTGAGCTTAGTAGACTGTATGCAGGGATTTGTTTGAGAGACAGTATTGTGGTCATAGTGGAAGAACTCTGAAGAGAACTAAGTGGCTAGTAAATGGTAAATGATAGCCTCAAGGAAAAGTGATAAATAAGGATGGGTGAAATGATGCAGAACTGAAAGTTTGTTACCGCCTTGTGATTGTTGCGATAAAGTGCAACAGAACTGTTTTTCTGCACAAAGTGCAAAAAATTGGAAAACAGAGAAAAAAAAAAAAGCAGACCACGCCTCAAAAAGAAATGATTAAGTCTGTGGATGAGATATATTATGTTGGATTTACTCTTCTAAGCTGATGATGTAGGTGCATATGGATGTTTTTCTAGTATGCTAGGCTGAAACTTAGTGTTTTCAAATGTGGCAGCTATCTGAACCTTTTATTTTCCAAGACTATTTCTGCATGGTACGATATTGTTATCCTGGGCTCTAAGTTAGGGTTGTATTATGGACTTTGGGTACTAAAACTCTGAATACACTAAAGGAACAGGCCTTCTGGCTGACAGCTGTAGCAGGCTGTCCATAGATCAGGTAAGGTAGCATGTGGGTTATTATAGCTGTGTTTTAAGCTGAATGTCCGTAGTTTTAAGTATTGCCCATAGTTTATTTAAGTTTATTAGTGTTTCACAAAATTAAAGGTTTAACTATGGCAGAACGTTAACACCCTGAGACCTTCTTGCAAATACTAAATATCCTGCCTCATTTTTTGTAAAGTACAGCAGTGCAATTTTTAGACACATGTAGCAGTTTTGTGGGCTACAGTATTTCATACAGACTTTATTGATTTATCTAACACTTTTTCTCTACCTCTCCTATACTTTTTCTCTGTGTGCAGCCTGCTAGAGCTGAACTGTATGGTTGCACAGATTTTTTTGCAGTAATATTTTTGATTTGCAGTTTAGGATCTATTACGTTTGCATCTATATGGAAGTATAAATAATGAGGACATGAATTTTCTTTCTTTAGTGTAAAAAGTTATGAGTGTTTGGTATGGGTAGCATTGTGTGTGTTAGCATCAAAATGTTTTTGTTTGGGAAATATTATTCAATAAAGCTCAGCTTGGGTATAAAGCTAATATATAGCAAAGTAAGGGATGATTCTAGTAATCTGGCTTCATAATGGTAAAAATGATATACTCTAAGTTCTATAGTCAGAATTGTTTAAAAATGGGTAAGCACACCACTGCCTGGCAATGAATTGTTTATTAGTCTTCATTTATAACGGTACATTTCGAACAAACAACATTAAAAGATCATTTTTAAGGTTGAAAAGTCAAACATTTAAAAGCTAGACAGAGTCACAGTTAATATCATCTGTGCAAATAATTTGATTTCTTTTGTATACGTTTTATAGTATGGTCTTGAATTATGCAATCCCATTTTTCCTATGGGACATCTGCCTCACTCATTGCACAAAATGGATGGCGCACAGAGAGAATCTATTTACTATTATTTTTATCCTTTGTATTCAGTGTGTTACCCCACAGTTTATTCATTGAATGCTGTTCAAGCAGAGCTTAGAAAACAGAATTATTCATTACCTAATAGACTTCTTTTTTCCTCCTGTGGTGAACTAGCTGTTATTGAATGTAATTTCCTAGGTTTAAAAATGTAATAAATTGGTTAGGTGATAATTTCATAACATGGCGTTATGCAGCTGTGTGTGTAAGCACACACAGCTGATTAGCATTAGGATCAATAGGCTAAGATACCCCACCCAGACCTCTACCATTCAAAGAGCAGAGAAGCCAGTAGCAGTAGCGCAGTATCATTATCTTTGACTGGAGAAGGATGCACTTCACAAGTGAATTTCACAGCTGTTTGCTAAAGGGAGAGCCAGCTTTATTCCTATTCCAGGAATCCCTAAGAGGGAATATCTTTAACTCTTGTCTGTTATCCTGTTTGTAATCTTTTTAATTTTTTTTTCTCTTTTGGGCTTGTTTCTGCTCTTCCTGTTCCAAAACCTACTGCTTACCTAATTAATTCTAGTCTTCCTTGTTTAGGTTTCATCCAAATCCCCCAGACCTTAGTTTCTTCTTTCTAGACCCCTAATCTCAATCTTTCTTCTCCATCTTCCTAGTTCCATGCTTCAGCTTTCCCTTTCTCATGTTAGATTTGAGAGGCAATTACAGGTACTGTAATAAAATGACTAGAGTCACCCAACAAATGAATCACGAGCTGCCAACAGTTCAGCAGTGATAATGCGGCTCCTGCACCAGGGATTTCGTGACAGACGGGTGAACTGTTTTTGCACAGAGGCCACTGAATAATCCAAACCTTGATTTCAAAGTGAGTGAATAAGCAGATTCTGCTGAAGTCAACTTTGCTGAGTATACTGGGTACTCTTGTAAGACAGTGTTCTCTCCTGCCTGCGAACTGCTTTCAGAGCTTCCTTTTCCCTAAGCTCTCTGGTGGAAATGGATATGATTTTTGGGGGGGAGGGCAAATGGAAATTTTGGCATGTGGTTTGTTAAGGTCAGAAAGGTTGGCCACTGCAAACCGGAAATGCGCTTTGTTTCAACTTGCAAAGATGAACAGGTTTGAAGATGCGGTACGTGGAGTGCATAAAAAGTTTACAAATCGGATTAGGTTGATTAATATTAGACAAGCAAATGAGAAGGGTTGGATCATATCGAAATTGTAAGATTTTGGTTTTGTAAATGCAAGCACTTCAGACTAAGAAACCTAACACGTTCTTGAGCACTTCTGAAATTTGGTAATAGTCAATGGTCTCACCTGGAGAAAGAAATACTACCAGTAAAGTAGTAAACAAGACTTGAATCTTTGTTAAAGCCTAAGTGAGACTCTTAAAAATACTGGTAAGCTACACAACTGTGTAAGTGAGGAAAAACTGTGTTCCCTAAACAGAGGGCCATTCGCTTGAAACAAAACCTGTCACCAATATGATTTGTAATTCAGATCTAAGGACTAAATTCCTAATACAGCATATATCACAAGCCTCTTGTCCTACTCAGAGGTGTGAATAAGTTCCACTTGTATTTGAGCTGTATCTAATAATAAAAAAGTGTGATTCACAAAGTCTGACTTCATTTTCCATGCCAACCGTACTTAAAAGACAATTAATGGCAAGTAGTATGTTAAATACGGTATCCCTAGAAAGGCTATGATTGTTTTTGCATAGCAAGAATAATTTCTAGGTGAAACTCTTCAATTGTATGTTATTTCTAATTTGTTCCCCAGTTTTTTTCTCATGAATTCTAGCTCAGATGGACAGCTCTGTCTTCTGATCTTTTTATTAAATGACTGTAATGTTAAAATACTTAAGTACTGTTTTACTATGTTAATTTTTGCTAGGCAAATTTACTGTTCATTTTTTAGACTAGAATTTTGTATTATGTTTGACCTTTTAGTTCATGCTGACATTATAACAGCAAACTTTGTTTTATTGTCTTAAGAAATGACTAAATTGACCGAGTGGGTTTTTGTAGGAAAAGCAAAGGAGAGGCTACTGTTTATGAAAAAGGAAAAGGTGAGAAATTGCTCCTCCTTTTTATTTAGTTTCTTAGTGAAGAAGATATTCACCCAAACTGTAAAGGACTTGCATCCAGTTTCTGCTAGTGCTTTAAGGATCTGAGCCCACTTGTTCATCTTTTAAGACAGTCCATAACCATCAGGTAGCTTATCCTTACTCCTTTTTTATCTATTTGAAATATTTACACCAATTGAGGGGTAAAAAAATTGAGGAGGAGAATTGGGCAGGATATATACTTCAGAAGTTGTATACCCTATTGGTTAGGGTCAGGTGTTCAAATCTGTTCTAACTCGTCCAGTACTTGTCCTATAGTCTAATAAGGAGAATATTTTCTAAAATCATTGCACATGTCTGAGGAGTGTAAGATGGAAGTGTTTCTACACTTCAGCTTTATTGCGTGCTTCGGTAAAACTAAAAGAAATGTTGCAAAATGTTTTAAATGCATGTGTCGTTCTGTGTCGTCTAACAAATAGCAAATGCTCTGTTGATGAAACCTGTTCTATTTTCTTTTCTTTCACCAGTTTTCTGTTTTTCTTCTACAGAGGATACTGCTCACTGGCTAGACTGAACCATAAGTTATACGTAATCTCAATCAACATAATTCTTTACGTTTAAATTAATAATACAGTAGATTTAAGGCATGTGAAGCTAATAAATATTTTAATAAAGTAAGTTAATAACGTTCCAGTCATGGTTCAGTGTGATGCCATTAACAGAACTGCACTGAAATTAGGACTCTGAACTCATGGTGTCAGTATGGTGTGGGGTCCTTTATGAAGTGGGATTTTTTTCTTGTATAGAGATCTGTTCTTTGTACTTTCAGTAAACTCAGAAAGTCCTTGCGTATCACATCACTGAAGTCTGTTCCAAAGTGTGAAAAAAGCAGTAGCAATTCATCGTACTAACAAACTGTTCTGGCTAGCAAGATGAATGGCCTGTATAAATGATTACTTTTTAGTTGCAGTTTATAATATTTTTAACAATAACTAACAGGAGAATCTATCTACTCTCATAAATTTATGTAATATGTAGCTGAATTACTTGCTATTTCAGGAAGGTAAATTTTTAGTACAAACCATTGGACCAGTGATATGCTAAACTGTAGGTTTGGAGCCAAATTGTGATTTCAACTGGGAATATTTTAAGAAGAAAACTTATTTCTGCATATTAATTGAAAGTGCGCTCACATGTATCTAGCAAAAGGTTACTGCTTTCCTTCATACAGCTTTCTTCCCTCATCTCCCTGTAGCCTCTCGCAGCTATTCGAGAGTTTAAGGGAGTGAAAAATGAGGGAATGAGAACAGGAAACTATTAGGTATTAGAATCTCTTTCCCACATTAGAAAAGATTGGTAGTTGCTCTGTTTAGTACCATTTAAACTGTTTTGAAGAAGCAACTGGTGTCAAGGGAGTGTGGGAGAAGAGAATTTGCAGCATGGGTGGGAAGACATTTAGAAAGGATGACATCCTGGTTTCGTCCTTTACCAGTCATTATTGGTGGCAGTGTCTCATCTGTGTTCTGTCGCAGCTGGGGTAAATTTTGTAAGAGCAAGTACAGAGTGTTTAAATCTGTTTTGTTGACGAGAAGTGATTCTTAATGTGAAGGTGGCAGCGTTGAAGTATGATTCATACCATCCTAAGTTAGATAAAGTACGTAAGTGCTTATTTCTCTTCATTGACCGTAAAGGGAAGACGGGTGACTGATTCAGAAGCTGATGTTTATAGTATAAAGGGAGATAATGTGCTAGAGTTTTGACTCTGAACTTAACCAAAACTTCCCCAGAAAGAATAGGGAATTCTGCTGATGGGAGTTTTCAGAGCTGTGGATTCCCATCGGACAGAAGCCTTTAAACTTTTGAAGTGGTTTAAGCTGTACCTTTTGGGGGAGCGTCCTGTGGATTGCCACGGAGCAGCACCATTCTTGGCATATTTTTTGTTGGATTTCTGAGCTGCCTTACTCTTGCAATGTGTGAGCAGCCTTACTGGATCCAACTCCAAATGACCGGCCCATAATTACATGGATTGTTAGTGGTAAAATTGAGAAGGAATTTATCTCAACTTTGGGTGTTGTAATAGCTAGGATTTCTCTTTTCTTGAAAGCATATTACTTGTAGCTCAGAGAGAAATTTTTTTTGTGTGTGAAAATTATAGACAAAGAATTAGTTGATCCTAGTCTGGTGACTGGCTCTGTCATAAGTTTCTTGTGTGATTATTTGTAGATAACTTAGACTTTTGTGTCTCATCTTTTTGGTCTGTAAAATCGGAGATGATGATGCTTCTATTCTGCATTTTCTGGTTCTGTTTGACTGCAAACTCCTTGCTACAAAAGCTGTCTTGCTGTGTCTTATCTTTGTAGCATGAGAGAAAACTTGGTTGTAATGTGCCAATATTGGAACTGATGCGCAGGAGCCTGAAAGCTCGTTGCTGCCCTGAGGATGCATGTTTTGGAATCCTGTTGTAGAATTAGATTTTAAAGAGAGATTGTCACTGAAAACCCCTGTCCCCGTTCTGTCTTAGTGTTTTCTCAGTCCCCTTTTCTCCTAGTTAAAACGATTTTGTTTGTTTTGTGTATGTGAGAAATTGGCCAGTCAAACGTCAAAGGATTCACGTGTTTCCTTGCTTACACGCTTTGTGAAGTACTGTGTCAACTGCATTAGTGTTTGTGGAATTGGGAATAAAGAGGAGTCTTACCTGCATGTGCAACAGAAACAGTTAATCATGCCATCTGCTGCCCACAAAAATGAGGTTTATTTTTTATTAGCTCCTTCTGTCATAATAAGTATAGTTATCTGGGATGGCCAAAAAAAAAAAAAAAACTTTCAGAGGTTGTTCGTTTGGCAGCGTTATGCTTATTTAGACTAAATTGTTGATGCTTTAAAATTGTGACTGGAATATTAGAATAGTTCTTCATAACTTTTAAGAACAGAGTGCTACAGAGTGCTTTGAAGAACCAGGTGCTAAATATTAGCAAATATTTATGTCTGATCCTTTGTAAAGAAAAAGTCTATTATTTATACAACCTTTATTTTTTCTCAGAAAGAAAAATGAAAAAAATTTCCTCATGGTAGTCACCAGTACTTAAAGAATGAAGTATTTGTCCTCATTTCAAATTAACAATCTAAAAACGTATTAATTCGAATAGGTTTCTAAACGTGTACTACTTACCATACTTCAGAACTGGATCTTCAAGGAACAGTTAGAATTTCCCCTAGTCTTCTCCCTGCTTTCTTCCATGCTCTCTCATTATAATGCTCTCTCCAAATTGCACCTTACTTCCCATTTGCTCTTTAAGTCCTTACTCCAGACTTACCTCTTTTGCAAATAGATCAGCTGCAAATATTATCTAAATCTTGTAACGTACAAGCTATTTTGTGATGTCTGTAGAGACACTGAAGTCAAAATAGTTTTGTGAAGTGGAAAGGCCCTTTGGGACTGCTGATTTAATTTATAAATCATCCCAAATCCATCTGAAACAATTTGAAACTGTAGTATTCATTTGTAGGCATAATGGCAGGGAAGTATTTGGGGATTTAGGGATTGCAGAATGGCAGTATGAAATTTAATTTTTTTCCCTTGCAAGCTCTTTCTAAGAAGAAAGGGATAGAATAGGCAAAAGCAGAGAAGTGCTTGTTGCTCTTGCTTTCCTGCTCTTTCACCTTAGTGCATGTTCTGTAGACATTCAAAAAATAACTGAAGTTTTAAAAAAGTGTCCGGCTTCTTTTTCTTTGTATCCTTCACATGATCTTTGATGTTTTTATCATTTTGGCTTTTTATAAGTTTAAACTATCTAGAGATTCATATGAGATTAGATTATAAATTCTGACAGCAACTCACTAATGCTGAAAGATGTGACCGAACCCTTTAGTGAAGAGGTGCGTGAAAATAGAAGGTAACAAAAAAACATAATGATTTTGAACATTGAAAAAATTTTGGCTCTAGAGAAACCAAAAGTTTGAAAGATATGTATCTTTTGTTTGAATTAGTGACCTCATTCTCATCTTATTGATTTTTCTAAAATATGAATAAACAGAACAGGATGTCATTCTATAAAGTCTCAAATATCTGCCTCACTTATGGATTAAGCTAGAATAAACAGTGATATGATGCTTCATCAGTTATGCAGTGGATTTTTCAGTTGAATGTCTACTTATAATTTTTCTTGACTTTTAGTAGCACTTCACTTCCTTAGTTGAGATAACTAAGGATAACTAATAACTCGTCTAAGTATAAATTTAAATTGTTACATTTATCTCAGACTGAAAACAATAGTATTTTTCATTTTAGGATATCTTGTATTATGAACAGCTTAAGTCAAATGTGATTCAACACGACCTTTTAGTGGACAGCCTGATTTACAAAGTAAGTAATTCATTAAACAGTGATTAAGTGATTATGTACTCATCACAACAGCATGTGGGTGTGTGTGTGTATATATACATACATACATATATATATATATATATATATATATATTTGAAAAAAAACTTGCAGTGCTTTGGTTCTAAGGAGTGTACAAATAATTAGTGTGAATTTATTATTGTAAACTCAATCCTTGTGTGAAATTCTCAAAAGACCAGTTCTATAGGATTGAGCCTTAAGCTCTAGCATAAGACATTTGTTTGAATTGAACTGTTAAGTGGTAAGGAAGCAGTTCATTTGAAGGAATAACTGGTTTTGGGAGGAGGAGAACATTGGGGTCCAAACTTTTCAGTTTCTGAGTTTCAATTCTAAATACTTTTATAATCAAGTTAATATAGCGCTTTGCATTTTACAGTATGGAGTATATGGTTAACCACAGCTTGTTTATGATTCAGTGGTGAAAAAGAAAGTGTCTTTTACCAGCATATTGGTTAGCTTCAATGAAAGTCTTAAAAGATGTCTTTCAGCTTCAAACTTGCTTCAGCTATATTTTTTGATTTCAGGATGTAAAGCTGACAGCAAGTAACGATGACTACTATTTTGTATTTGAGGATTATTTATATCAGGTATGTAACTAACCAATTTTTCCTCGGAAAAGCTAGAAAATATACTTTTCTGAGATAATGCAATCTTTAGAATAAGGACTACCTTTGTGTTTCATGTGTAGACAGAGTATAATGAGTGTAATGATAGGTGCATCTCTGCAGCATTACATATTTTTTTTCCTTCTGAATATCAATACTCTAAATTAATCAAGTTCCTTTAGAGAGGTGAAGCAAGACAGGCTTCTAAAACTCCTATTCTGAAGGATCCTACGCTATGTCTTTTCAATGTAGCAAACCAGAAAATATGAAGCCAGTCGTATTCTTCCGCTTTGTTTCATAGTAGTAAAACTGACAGAAGTTGTGACATACAAAGAAAATAAGACTTGAGAAGACTTGAGTTCAGAGTTCGAGATTAAAAATAGGAATATTGCTTGACAGTGATTTAGTGTAATAAAAAGAAAAGGTATTTTATTGACATATTTAAGTTGAAAACATTGATTCGGAGTATGATAATGATACGTGTGGTTACTTTCAGCATAGTTTACATTCTAAAACTACTTCTAGCAACAGGGAAAGCAGCTAATTTATACAGAATTATCTTATTTGCTGCCCTTTAGGTGTCCTTAAATAGAAGGAGATTACATTTATGAATTTCCTAATGTGTAGTTGATTGCAGTGTCAACATAAATGTCATGCAGCGAACTTACCGTTTCCACAGTGCTTTCAATTTCGTTAGTCACATCTATTAGGTTAACTAGCTTATATTTTGGTTTTAGAGCTATATGAAACTTCCTTGACAGTAGTATATAAAACTGCTGGTAATCTGGTGGATAAACTAAGCAAGAAACTGTCCTTACTGTTATTTAGTGCATATATATGTAAAAATATGCATTTCTGTTTAAATATAACAATCACTCTTGTCTATATATAATATTTTTAACATAATAAGCAATTAAACATTAACACTTAAAGTAATAACCTCATGAAATTACAACTTTTTTAACTTAAAAGTATCTACAATACTAAGATAAAACAGTATCTGAATTAAAATTTGAGACGTGACTGTATAGTGATAATTCAAACAATAAAAATTTGTGTGTAGATTTTTGTCCTGATTTAAGGATCAAAGAATATTTTCATTACTGCTGCACTATCATATCATCATGGGATGCGAAAATCTGGTTGTTATTTCTGCTTCATTCATCATAAATACTGCTAATGCATATTAATTACTCGTTAACTGACAGTTGCAATGGACCTGGGGTTATAATCTGTGAAGAAATATGAGCTGGTTTGCAGTGTAATCTGTTGTTTGAAGAGTCAGAAATAGATTTTATTTGTCATTCTCAATGCATAACACAGTTAAGATTTTATTTTTGTAAGAATGCTTATAGAGCAAAAATCGTTTTAAAAAAAAAAAAAAAAAAGTCCAGCCTCTCCTTAACCAAATAAACCAGCAATCTTTGAAAAAGGAAGTGAATTGTTTTACTCCAATGATTTTAAGCAAATAAAACCTCAAGCTTCTAAATGTTATTTGCTCTGGTTTTGTTTTTTACTTTGTGTTCTTCAGACTCTTTTCTAGAATAAAGTTATCCATTTATCCTGATAATTTTCTTGTCCAGCCGTACTTGTATCACTTTTGAATGATTTTGTTCTGTGACCCCAGGAAAAATGTTGCAGTATTAGAGTCACTCTCATATGGAATATTATTTATTGATTTCATATCATAATAGGAGTTAAAAGTATATAAAATAGATGATGAAAATATTTTAAATATTTTAAACTAGATAAATTGTTTCTTTACTTACATAGGGGTTTAGGATTTTTTTATGGCTAATTACTGCCTCTGAGTTTTCCAGGTCTTTGAGCAGAGGGTGGCATCTGTCTGTATACAACTTGACAGATAAGGCATTCATCAAAACTAGAACCTCTGGGCCTAAAATAATAACGAGGATATATTGTGTTCTTGGTAGCTCTTTTGTAGCATGCAGTCCTTCTTGGGAAGAACGTTGTGAAATTATGTAATTTATTTGCTTTAATATACTATCCTTATCGCAAAGTTAACATTTTTAATAGCTTCTTTTTATTAACTAGCTGTATTCTACTTCAATAATTAGTCCTCTATTTTTGAAAAAAGCTTTGGCTTTTTTTCTTTGTATCAGTCCTTTGAGTGCAGTGGTTTTCTTTTTGATTTTTGGTTCCGTTATCTGACAGTTTGCCAAACATTTGTATGCTTAAAAAGGGGCTTGTATCATTGTTTTCTTTAGTATTATCTTTTTTGCAAATGAGAAAAATAATTCATGAGCTTATATAACTTGAGGCCAGATGTTCACTGTGAATACTTTAATCTTACATCCTGCATAATGAATGTATGCAAAGAGCCTCACCCAATATTTTTTACATACAGTTATAACTTATGTTTGAGCTATAGTCTACCTCTTACAGAGGTACCTTGTCTTAATTTAAAGAGTTCCAGATACCAGTGCTGGACAGAGTATTCCTAAGAAAGGAGCCTCAGACTGAGGTTACATTCTTTCCCCTATGAGAGAAAATAATTTATGTCCTTTTTAGATTAGTTTCTTTCTCTTACCTCAGTTAACATATACAGAGTATTACATTTGCCTGTGTATTGTTATTGTCAGTTATATTTTGGCAGCTGTGAAAATGATTGTGTTGTGCAAAAATAATGTTTAAATTAAACGGTTCAAGATAAGAAACTATTTATTTTTAAAAAGATATTTGTATCTAAGAAGTAGTTTTGAGATTTAGAAGAGGAAAATGTCTCAAAATATAATCTGCTTTCAGAAAAATGCACTAGTGGTGTTCAGGTATCATAGTTTGTCTTGCATGTTGCCCTGACAGATGCTGACATCTGGGAAATGTTTACAATAGCTAGTTGAGGGATATCATTCATTTTATTAATAAGAAAAAATGTAGTGAAACAGCATTTAAAACATTTTGACTATTTCCAGCTTGGGTATAGTTAAAAAACCCTCTATTAAAAACTGCACGAGAAAAGTGAGTTCTGCAGAAACAGCAGCATGTTTTCTGACTGTCTTATTTCTGCCCTCTTGTGTACATTCATGATAGTGCAGACTTTCATTGCATGAAAACATTAAAATTTTCAAGTATAAAACTAATTCCTTTCAACTTTATATATATTTTATAATGCAACTGTATGTATGATTATATTATTGGTGAATTTTTATAGGAATGCTTTTAATATTTAATTTCATACTCAATTGCTGTAAATACAAGGTTGTTCTTTTATATAAGTAAACAATGATAAATACAAATATATATTACAATATAGAAAGCTTTTGCAAAATATGATATGCATTTCAGAAGTTATGAATGCAGGATGAACACTCTAATCTGTTATTCTTGAAAGAACTGAATGTAGCGCAAGCATTTTGTACAGGTTCTGGGAGTGAGTGAGAATACAAGGGCCAGTCTTTTACGTCTGCACACATGCTAAAATGTAAATTCTTCGTCTGTTCATTCATTTACTAGGACTTCCATCAGTCATAGGAAATGAATAGGAAAATGACAAAATAGACATGAAAACAGCTAGTTGCATGTACAGCCAATGTAATAGCCATGAAGAGTGTAAAAGAGGTCTAAATACAAACTTAGAATACCTAGAAAACATTTCAAAATGTTCCAATCTGCTGATTATTCAGAAATGAGTCAATATGACATTGCAGAAGGGGGTAAAGCCATGCTCAGAGGCAGAGAGAACGGTTGGAGAACATGGGTATTTTACTAACAACAAATGAATGTGAAGATAAAATAATAGAACGTTTAAAGCCGGTCCAGAAATTTGAAGGGGGGAGTAAATTAAGTTGATCAAGAGCTTTTAATGCTATTAGCTTTGTTCAGTAGCATCTAATAGGTGCTAATTAAGCCAAGTGCTTATATCTGTGTTCGACATGGTTTTGTTGATCCAGTAAATCAGCTGATTTTTTGTATGCTGTCTTCTACAGGTGTTACTCTGTTTTTCCCGAGATACGTCAGTACTGGAGCACTTTACTTACAGTAGTGCCACCCCACCTAAATCATACATACGAGGTAAAGGGAGCTGTTCTAAAAGAGAACGTCTGGTTTTCTGCTATTGGCTGCTGTAATCAATATATGAATTTCCTTTATGTTCCTTACACGTGGTAGACTACACTTAAAAGAACATTGGTAAGAAAGTCGTGCATCCAGTTGCCATGTGCACAGACTCTGTCATGACAGTTTTGAAACTGATTGCATAAAGGCCAGGTTATGGTGATGTTCTTTTACAGTAGTTTTCTGGGTATAATTTTCCAGTGCTTTACCAAAATAAATCAAAAACAGAACCTTGACAATATGGTGTAATATTGACAACAACGTGGATCGTCATGGATCATCATCCTCCCTTATTGATGCTGCATTTTCATTTTATATCTGAACTGTCTTATTGCATTGCTTGCATGCTTTTGGACAATGTCAAATGGTCAGTGTGTCACTATTTATAATTTCTGTAGTTGTCACTCAAAATAAAATTAATATTTTTAATTTACATCTTCATACCATTAACAGTTTAATTGTATTTTAATTGTGGTTTGATGACTCACAGGAAAGCTTGGAATAGAAGATTATGCTGTTTTCTATCCACCAAATGGTAAGAATTATACTATTGCCTCCTCTAGTGGTAGATTGGAAAGATGCAGGGTTTTTTCCTCAAATACATGCTGACTTCTTTTTCTATTACAAATTATGAATCACTGGTTTTCTGCCAGATTTGTTAATTTAAGGCAGTAAGCTGGGCTGAAGTTGTTTTTGCTACTCCAAAACCACATTCAGCCTAGTGTTAGTAGCTACATCTGGAATTTACCTGTGTGTGTGGGAAGGAGAGGGGAAACAACTTCTGGTGCAGCAGCTTATATTCCGGTCGTATATCATCACTTAGAGGGTCTGAAAGATACGTGTTAAAACTATCTAACCCCTTGCTTTTCAGTACTCACACGGTCCGTGTGGTTGTCTTTTCCTTTGCAAATTTGCATTTATTTTTTAAACTCTGACATAAAACTTAAAAGTATATACATTTAGTTATGGCAGTGCCCTTGCTGTTGCTTCTGTTGCTGAAATTATTTTCTCAGCTTTTATTTTGACCTTTGCAATCGCTGCCTCTTCAGTCCTTTCCCCGTTTTTGCACTGCATTGGAAGTTCAAGCTCTTCTCTTTGCTCTTGGAAAGAGCAAAATCTTAAATCTCTAACCTTGTCTGTCGTGTCTTCCCTGTTCCAGTGGCATCAGTTACAGCACATACGCTTGCTCCCCCTTCTTTCATTTTTGCCTCCATAGTTCCTCCTTGCAGGTTTACAATCATGAAGCATTCTCCTTACGACCTCCTGCCAGAGCCGCTCTCTCTCATCGGTCCTGTATGAAAATTAATGAATGAGAGCTAAGATCATTTGGAAAGGAGGAGAGAACTGTCCTGGTACAACTGCCAAGTCCTCTAAATGTTTTATCTGAGTAGTACATGAATTACTAGAGGTCTTGGCCTCCTTTTTTCCTGCTCCCTCCTTGTTAGTGCATGACATTTACTGGTTGTCATTTATCTGAAATTAGGTTCTGATTTCAGCAAAGCTTATACTTAAGAACTTAATGGAAATGGAGCTTTACTTGGCTCTTCTAGGAACTACAGCATGTGTTTAAACACGGTGAGTTGTATTGAAGTAAGCGATGCAATTTCTGTACTTAAATATTTACAAGATCAAGACCTAAGACTGTAGGTGCTACAACATAGGAAATGTTTTATTCCGGTGGTGTGCAGAATGCAATGTAGAAACTTGGGGAAGAAAATAGATTTTTGCATGGATAAATAGAAATATAAAAGAATAAATGGAAAGAAGAAATCTCTTTGTTTTGTAGGTGTAATTCCTTTTCATGGCTTTTCTATGTATGGTAAGTGTGACTTAAATTTAAACTTTCAAGTAACAACTCAAGATTTCTTTTTATCACATTGCAGTTTAAAATGATATATACTTTTAAACTTTTGTGTACTCTTTCTTTGTGTATTAAAACTGCTGTAGGCAATTTTTAAAATTCCAGGCTGTTTCTATTTATATTATAACTTACTATAGTGTGGGAGGCCCTTTTCTGAGAGTTAGTAGCTGTGCAACTGGAATCCGGGTCAGAAGCTGTATTTTGATCTATATGAATGGAGGGAGGAAGTTTAGTGACAGCGTGCTCTGCTCTTGTGCGCTATGTCTTCTGAGTAGACCGAGCTAGCTGTGAAAGGAGTTCTTATGAACATGATTTATGTGAAAGGCTTATTGCTATATCCACGTGACTAGAATAGGTGTTAAGGGGGTATCAAATGATAAAATGGTTGCTATTTCATTGCAAAGGCAAAAGCTTAAATATTGACAAGATTTCTAGGAACAAAGCAGAAAAATCCCCCCTATTCTCAGCTGTAATAAGGCATCTTATGTACAGAGATATTCAAAAAAGGAGAGAATATTTCTTACAGGTTTCCATTTTTTTCCCGATTTATCAAAGATGTTTGTGGTATCACAGGGCAATCAGATTTCAGGATTATACTTAAAATGCTATGTTTCACTAATAATCAGGTTTAAGGATCACACTCTCCTCTATTTGATTCTTAAAAGGTCACAGGCCCTTTAAATATGAAATCCAAATTTGAACCTCAATAGGGAATGTAAGTCTTTGAAGTAATGAACAGCTTGGTTACAAACTCTTCCTTTACTGCTCACTAGGAGGCTTTCACTTTTTATGTGTGCCTGGAGCTTCGCTTTCCAGAACGGCTTTTCAAAACGTTTGGATTTTACTCTGCCCTTTGGAACAGCAGCTCTTAAACTGGGTGCGAGCTTCTTGCCTCCTTCCTTGCTTCTTCCTCCTCAGCAGGGCACAGAACATACTGGTTGTGAGGAAGGGGAGCGAGGCTGGACAAGCAAGGTGAGGGGAGCTCCAGCGTACCTGCAAGCTGTGGGTACAGGAGCAGGGTCCAAGCAGGGCGTCCCGTGTGTTCCTGTCGTTGCTGCCGAAGGAGAGAGTATCTGGGGCCTTACGTAAATCCTACACGTGTAGGATATGTATGTCCGCATACATAGGCTCCTCTTGACGCAATTTCCAGACCCTGTTCTGATATCTTTCTGGCCTTCCTGCACATATGTACCCTGCCAACTCTTCCACCTCCACTTTCATTCATTGCACATACACACTAGTAACACCCTTCGCTTTTTTTCACCCCATGTAAATATACTTTCTGTGAACATCTCACCTTACCTTAGCACCCCCGCCTCTCATACACATACAGATATGCCACTATTTTCTACTAAGCCACCTTCTCTGATTCCTATATATATATGTATATGAATTCACACATGCATGCATCCATATATTTAAATATAGGTATATTTATGTGCATAGGTACATACATGTATCCCTGTCTGTGTAAACAGAACTGGAAGGGAGGGTGAACGTACAGATGGCTTGGACTTAAACATGTTCGTAGGCTCTGTCATGCCAAATGAAAGCATCTGTAGCACCAGGCGGCGGATCCGGTGAGCGAGCGGGCAGATGAGAAGGCAGTTTGTTTGTGGAAACGTATACAGAGGCCCTGGCCGTGGAACGTGCGCTGAACGAGCGGAGCAGATGTTGTGGAAACGGATTGTGTGTTTGTGTGACATATACATACAGCAGATTAATCTACCTACAGGCCAGACTTTTCCAAAAAGAAGGAAGAGACTGATTTAAAAAAAATAAAATAAAAAAATTTGAGAACTGCTGCTTTACAAATGTAGCTAACTTCTGCTTGTGAATCAGCTGTGTTGAAAGCCTTCTAAAGGGTAACCTACAAAATGTCCATTTTTTTCAGATCTTAGAACAAATAAAGAGATCTCTATCAGTCAGTCACTCTTAGGTGATGTTACTGTGGCAACCAAAAGCTGTTTTTTAATGTTTCAATTTTCACAACACCTACTTTCAAACAGTAAAATTATTTCTGTCTTACATGGGGAGCCAGGTTGGAGAAGGTCACTAGCCAAGACCACGCTGGAAGTTACAGACAGTTGAATCCAAAATTTGCAGTATTCAGCTTACCGTTGCCCAGTGACGCTATCTTCAAAACAAATTCCTTATGCTTAGGAAGCCGGCAGCGGAGTAAGCAGACTCTAATTAGTTTGGCTTACTGAAATACATAGAGCTGTTGCCTAGAACGTATCGTTCTCCTTTGTTTAACTTCTTTTACTTCAAATGATAGGATCTAATATGAAATATCTCTTTCTAAATACTTGATTTGTTATTATTTTGCTAATTGTGCTGCTATAATTTACTTGTTTTTCCCCATACTTCACACACTTAACCATTGAACTTTTTTAGCAGTATACAGCGTTGAGTCAATTAAATTCTTTTGTCCTTTCAGTTGCTCCACTTTGTTTTCTGTACCATGAACCTTCCAAATTGTATCAGATATTCCGTGAGATGTATGTGCGTTTTTTCTTCAGGCTCCACTCCATCTCTTCTCATCCTTCTGTAAGTTCATTAAGAATTAAAGTCCACTCACTTGATATTTTGTTTGCTGTGGAACAATAATATATGGTGACATGATTTTCTTTTTCTATGTGATTGAAATATGTGCTTTTAAATATAGTAAAATATTCCAAGCAACCTTGGGAAGAATATTAGGTAACTCTGGTTTGGATATTTTAGTTTTCTCCCTCAGTGTTAGTCTTTGCCTGTAGAATATCATGTACTTTAGAATAGTACAGTTTTCATTTTATGAAGGATTTTTTTTTTGTTGGAGAGTCACGTCTCTTGTGTAATATGCTTCTCAATTCAAGAAGTCACTTAAGTGCATACTCAAGTCTCATTTTAATCGATGACATGTAAGTACACACTTAAGTGTGTTCCAGGGGTAGAGGGATTGGAATATAGTCTGCTGTATAGTTTTAGTAATCTCAAATTAATCCCTCTTTCTTTAACTCATGTATCTTTGTGTGACAGCACACACTTTAGCACTACTGGATGCTGGAGAGAGAATTTAAATACATTTTGTTACGTTCACGGCCCGCTGTCTTGAATGTAAGACAATTGTTGAAAGTTTGTTTATTTTATATTTTTGAAAAGTAGCTCATAGTAAATATTTTTCTCTTCTCCTTTACAAAGTGCTGAATAGTTGCATTACATTTTAAGAACGTTTCCTGTTTAAAATAAAATGCTTTTATTAATATGGCACTATAAGACTAGGCACGTACTTTGAGTCATTAGTAGCACGTGAACTGATTAGACAGGAGTCTGAAATCGTTTTCATGGTAATTTATAAAAAAAAAAAAAAAAAAGAATTTTCTTTACATTTAACTTTTTTGTAGTTATATCCATTGCTGTTTGTTTGTAGTTATCGGAGATAATAGATTATTTCTCGTACGCTCAGGTTTTTAGGTTATGTATAGTGTAACTGAAGTCTGTTTCATCAGAGTGGAAATATTTCAAGTAATATTGTCATTATGTATGTTATAATAAGACACTAGGTACTTAGACCCTGACATACAAACACCATAAGTAATTTAGAGCTGAAAAGGACTGTCACAACCTAGCATGTTGCTGATACGTCCATATAATTGTAGGATCAAGGCTTTAGTGGCTGAAGCTGTTAGAGCTGCTCTTGTGCGCTATCCAGCTGACCTGTATATTATGTCATTAGTAGTATTTCATGGCTTGAATTAAAAATTCACGAATGTCCTGCTGATATTGTTTTCTCAGATTTTACAACATGATTATTAGTATTCAGGATATGATTGTATTTTATTAGGGCATTGTGTCATTATGTTTGCTGTTTGAGACTCTTCTGCAAACCCATCTGCCCCAGCTCTTTTATCACCTTCGAGAAATTGGGGCTCAACCGTAAGTACTTCCTTCTGGCTTGCTGCAAACGTTGCGATGTAATTATTCTGAAAATGCTATTCTGTAGTATTTTAATGTAAAAGCTATGAGAAATTTTTCAAAAGTACAAACATCAATGTGCCGTTTTTCCTTGAAAGTCAGTTGAAGTCCTGTGCCTAACCTGCATAGGTGTGCTTTGTGCCTGTTCTATGGAAAAGGAGTATTGCTCTTTGTGTTTATATGAGGAATGCTATATTATTCAGCTAAGTTGAAGTAATTCATGTCAGATCTGATGGAATTAATTGGTTTACTTCCTAGGGGACAGAAGACCCCCCCCCCCCTTTTTTGACACTGACTTTTTACGCTAGTTACAGCAGAAGCTGTTAGAAGGAAGAGGAGAGAGAGCATGAAACTGTTGTTTTCTATAGTGTATTCATGGCCCTAAGTGCCATAGCACCAAGTGTAATAGAATCTGAAAATCTTACCACGTTATAATTGATTTTCATAATAATAGCATAATAGCAGAAATGGATGAAACATTTGGGCTGATAATAGCTGAGAATCCCTCCAATGTGATTGTTTTGTCAGGATTTATTTATGTGCTTTATCAAATGAGATGCTGAATAGCTGTCTGAAGACCATTGCAAAAAATGGATTATTAATACTGCAAGAGAAAATAGCTGTTCTCCCTGAGAGAGAAATGCAGAAACATAGCAAAACATTTTCAGTTTATAGAATATTTTAAAGTATCTATCTGATCATATTGTGAGATGAAGATATAATAATTACTGTTTATCACTTGTTTGCAGGCTACGAATTTCATTTAAATGGATGGTACGAGCATTTTCTGGATATTTAGCTACAGACCAGCTCTTGCTTTTATGGGACAGAATCCTAGGATACAACTCTCTAGAAATTCTTGCTGGTAATGAAATTATTTTTACAAAAAGTGTTAAATCGAGATGGATGTAAAGCAGATACTATTAGCTTAAAATATATTTTATGATAAGAAGAAAATTTAATTGCGCTTTGAATGTTGAAAGCAGATGGCATATAAATCAAAGAGGCTAACAGATAAATAAAATTGCATACATATTGCATCTGAAACAAAGATATGTGAAGTAATTTTTAATACTTGTTCTTTATTATTATTGTTTGCTGTAATAGCACTCCAAAAATGCTAAGTGCTTTATGGGATGTCCTCTCAGCTCATGTGTTTTATGTGGTGACATTAGATAGTATAAAATAGATTACATGCTCATTTCATGTTATATACTGTTTACAACTGGAATATTATTACAAATTGCTATTTAAATAAATGCAAATGAATAGCTTAAAAATGAAGGAATTGTAAGTCACCTTGTCCCTCATAATTAAAAGGTAGTCATCTTGAAGTCAAGCATTTTCACTCAAACTTTTCACAAAGAATGTACTGTTGTTCCTATCCTTTTCATAAAGGATAGACAAAGAAACCCAAACACTGATATCCATTATATGTTATTCTTCAAAATCAAAATAATTACTGTAAGGAAGTACAAATTGTTATTTTACAACAAGATTAATTCTAAGCACTAATTACCAGGTCAGCAACTTAAATATTGGGCATTTTCTTTCAGTCCTGGCAGCTGCAGTGTTTGCTTTCCGAGCGGTCAACCTGATGGAGGTGACGTCACTGGCTGCAGCTGAAGTAAGGATAAGTTTCACTTAGAGGAGATTGAAATAGTTCCTGATGCTTTGCCAACCACAGTAACTTAAGCTTCAGATGGCACATGGTACATAGTGCAAATCTTTCTGCTTAAATTCTTGCCTTATGTAAAACCTCTGGAAATTATGAACACATAGAACAGAATATTGCTTTTCTGGATAAAAAGATATAATAAAAGGTTATATCTGTTACAAAACCACAGTGTTATCAAGTTACTTTGTAAAACCAGAGGTGTTTTTTTTTTTTTTTTTTAACTGTTTTAATGTATGATGTTTAATGTTTGTGAGGTATATTGTTTCTAAAATACTAGGGAGATTTGTACCTTTTTTGCCAGTACATTTTAATGTAGTTGCATCTTTTTCTTACTTTATTGTTTTAGTATTACAAAGATTTTACAAGATTACTTTTATCAATAGTGAATCTAAAATTTCAGTGGAAGTGCAGATGTGAAATGAAGAGAATGAAATGATTAAGATGAAGATTATTATTGTTTATATCTAGCAGTTTGATAAAATGCATTTTTTTCCAAAAATCTGATGATGCCTATTTTTTCAAACATTGAAGGCTTGTGATGACTCTTTTCTTTTTTTTTTTTTAAACATACTTTCATGAGAAGACATTGACTATTTGAGTCATTACATTGGACTTACTTTACAAGTACTAGCCAAGCCACAGGATAAGGAGTCTTAATTCCCAATTATTTTTAGAAGCAAGTTGAAATGTTAGACCTCTTTTACACTCATGATGCCATGTATATTTGAAGAAAGTCTAAAGGCTATAATAAAGTTACTTGGTTTATATACACAGATATGTTTTTTTTCTTTGAAATGTTAAAATGAAAAACCAGGCAAGAGAAACCTCTGCACACTAACATAAGACAGCACAATTTGTTTCCAGACAGGTCCGAACAGCCTATTTATTATTAGTACTGTAGTCAGCATTTGATCTTTTTCAGACTTCTTTAGCTGCTTTAAAGCAATTGGATTCAAATGTCAATTTTAACAAGCCTTTTTTTTTTTTTTTTTTTTTTTTAAATCTCAGGCTGTACTTGCTGACCTTTCAACCCTGAAGGTTATGCCTCTTCTTCAAATCTTCTTGTTTGCTACTGTCACTTGATCTGCTTCAACAATACTGATACCACACTTCCAGTCTTTCATTAGAAACTAATAATTAACTATGCAATGTCTGCATAAAACCAAAATTAAACTGTATGTATAATAATCATTTAGAAATCATGACCTTAATACAATTTTCTAACTGAAAACAGTAACTTTGCACATGAGTCTGTGCATTGCATGCTACTGAATTTCACTATAAGAGCAACGGTTATTATTTGTACAAGAAGAATGATTACTTGTGCAAATGAACAGCATGAATCAGTGTCTAAAATGCATGTAATACTGAATTGAATAAAGGTAATGTAACTCTTGATCTAATTTGTGTGTGATGTCTGAGTGTCTGTTAATGTCAGATTTGTAAAAAGCTCTCTTTTTGTATTAAATTACTTTTGCAAGCTCACATTGTAGAGGATATCATCTCAAATACAATAAAATGAGAAAATAATGAGACTTTAACTCACAAGAATTTTTTCTCATTTTCTAAGCAAAGGATAGAAAAATATATCCCTTCTGCTGTCTGTATCTTGTTCTCCCCGCAGAAGTTTTCCCCATGTTCTTTCCCTTGTCTGTTACATCTATTTTTTCTTTTTATATACAGCTTTTCTAAAATGCTCATATGTAATGGTAAGTTTCAAATTGTCCAAGAGATGTAGTTGCTCATTTCAAGTTCATCTCCAGTTAGCTCCACAGCTCTCTCAGGTGTCTTCTAAGAAAACTCCTACCCAGAGTCCCATCAAAGGCCCCACGTTGCAGAAATATGTTCCCCTGCAGAGAAGGACTGAACATAGCTTCCGTCAGAACTTGTTGAAGCCAGTCCTTACATGAGCCAAAATACTCGCCTACGAATGATGCCAGGAGTTCTTTCACTAATGCCCCACACCCTCTTTGGGAGTGCGACGTTATGCCTTTGCCAGTTTTCCAGCCGCTGTGATTCAACAGCTCAGGCTTCAGTTCAGAATCCAAACTCGTATCAATGTGTGACGGATTTTCACCACACTGTCAGGCTCATCTTCTGGCTCATCTTCTGTAGGTGATCAAACGATTTTGTCGTCTTCCGGCTTTTTTCACTGATTTGTTTAATACCGAAGTGGGAATTGCTAAGCTGATTTGATTGAGGATATCTTAATTCCTGAAAAAGGATCAAAGTCAAAAGAATATAAGTTAGTGTAGCTGCTGCATTTGCCATAGCACTTTTATCTTCCTCTAAGTTACCTATATTTGTCATACATACTGAATGTATGACAGTGAAACATGAACTCTTTGTGGTCTGTTCAAATGTTATCTGAAAAGTAATCTACCTTATAGTTGCAGATGAGGTTGTGGGCTTTACGTCTGGGATTCTTGTTATCTGTATCTGGATAATGCAGTAAGAAACTTATTATAGATGAACTTCCATAGATTTCTTGTAAATTTGTAAAGCTAATTTTAGAAAAGGTAAAGTTGTGGACTCAACATGATTACTTCTCAGATAAAGAACTAAAACTGCTTAACAGGTATGACACACTGGAGGAGAATATTTTCAGCAGTTCTATTCTTGATAACAAAAAAAAAATTGTTTTTTTCTCTAATATTTGAGAAATAGTTGTAATGGTTTAACTAGAGGATTTTCTGTGACGTTTAGTTGTAAAAAACCAGACACACATGACAGCTTTTATCTTCCCCCAAAGTATTTACCCTGTTTTAAACATGGGGAATGGAAGCATGGAAAGATTAAGTGTTTTGCTAAAGGTTACAGAGGAAATTCTTAAAAGAGATGAAAGAACTCTGCTCTCTCAAATTCTTGCTTATACCCCAGGATGCTCAGTTTATCTTAACTATTATACTATATTTGATCTTCAAAACACTGCATAATACAGAGCTACTTCTAAAAATGCAGCATTTTACGGTTTTTAAAATCTATAAGATTGGGTATGGACAGTTTGTACCAATCTGTAAATCATTTTAATGGTAAACTCATTTTTTTGAGAGATACTTTTTTCTCTTTTTGTCGTGTTCATAGTTTTGAAAATGTTATAAGTAGGCAGATAGACTGAATTATCGTTTGAAAAAGCAGTTCTGTGAATAACAGAATATGGTCCATTTTTCTCATTGCTTATCCTACCAGTCTCACATCTCCCTTGTGCCCTCTGTACCTTCCCCTTTGGAGTATGTGATCTCCTTGTCACATCCTCTGCCCGTGTTTTCCCTGATGGCTGGACAAAGGGACCTTATGTTCTGTGACTGGTCTGGACAGACTTGCATCTTTAGGCAAGTCTGGCTGGCTGCTCCGTGAGGCTCAGCTGATGCTTCACCTCTTTCCTGCTGGGCTGACCAGACAAAGGGCTTTGGGGACCGACCACATGCAGCTCTTGAGCCAGGTACTGCATGGGGGCAGCAGAATTTCTTGAAGACTTCTGCTGCCTTTTGTCAGATGTTAAAACTGACTTTCAAAAGACACAAAGACGCAGACACATGCACACAGGCACAATGAGTGATGAGTATGATTGCTTTAAAAATGAAATCAAGATGAGATTAAAAATGAACTGGATCCTCTCCTAAGACTTCAACTCTTCCCTGTCAGTTTGTTGGATTTTTTTTAGTTTGACCCAAAAAAAAAAAAAAAAAAGAAAGAAAAAGGCTACTGCTGAAGATGCACAGTTTTCATGTTCCCCTCAGTTTCTCATTTCAGTTGCAATGAAATATTACATTTCAGGGTCTGGCTGATACTTTTACTTTTAATCTCCCTTGCTCTTGTTTCAAGCGTTTTTAAAAACAAAGTGACTGATTTCTGTCATACAGCTACATACTTCTCTGGCACTCCTAGGTAGCGTCAATTACTTAAATGTTAATTCTTCTGCTCTAGAGAGCAGTTCAAACCCACTGAAGTCCATAGTCTATCGTTTGGCTTCCAAACCTCTAAAACTCCTTTTTTGTTTATGCTGTTATAAGTAATGACCAGATTTTGATCATAGAGTTATAAATAAAGGGATGCTTACGTTGATTTAAATAGGCTCCCGTTCACAGGTCACAAGAGTTCACATTCACTCTGAAGGCTCTGTTTAGCCAAATTATTTTTCTCACTCTGTTTCTCCCTGTCTGAAATTGGCATAAAGAGACATTTCACTTCAAGAAACAATTGTTTCCATATTTCTAGATAAAGATCAATTTTTGCTGCTTACCTTACTATTCTGGCTACGATCTGTCACGGGTGTCTTGCACTGTCAAATAGACTGTTTAAAAAAAAAGCAAAAGCAAATAGGCTTTTCTAAAAATGTACCCAAGTTATCTTATTTCAGTACTTCCAAAAATATATTGAAACTTAAATCTTGATGGCTGGGTAATGGAACAATTGAATAACTAGAACAGTTTCCACTTTGTACTGGATTCTTCTGGTCATAGTAACAAATTTTATTTTGAGAAATGGAGAGAGCAGAGAGGCTGGAAAACAGATATCTCCGTGAAGGGAAAAGACTGGAAAGAGGCATCTTTTTAAGACAAATTTCTACACGTTACCAGAAACCAACAAAAAATTTTGCCCATGCTTTTTTTATTTACTATCATCATCTAATAAAAAGAAACCCAATGAATTTCATAAAATTCTTCAAATAAAAGTGAAGTGATTTCACCAAGTGGAATTGCAGTATAAAAATCTAATATGGGAAAACAAATACGTGAGCTGCGTGTTACCACTAAATAAGAGCTGATTAAAAAGACACTGAAATGTACTGCAAAATTTTAGGACTGTATTTTCAGTTAGGATGGGGAAGAGCCTTTCTACACTTTTTAATAAATGGCCAAAATATCCTCAGATATTTTGTAAGCTAGTTCACGTTAGGAAATGGGAGAAGGAGGGGAAGGATGCGAAAGGAGCGGCTGGAGCAGCCA